TGAAGAGTCCCAAACCACGAAGAAACAGTTGTCCAGTACTCCCTGCTGGTTTTCATTGGTTCTCTAACTGATATCAATTCGTGATCAAACTTCAATTTTTACCTAAAATTCAGTACTTCTTACTTTATATAACAGTCACTTAACAAATATGTCTACATTTCCACGGATGCAGAAGGAGATGCATATTCTTATAGACAGATAAAAGACATAAATTATCAACACACGAAAACTGTGTATGATGTATGTGGTGTAAGTTGTTACTCTCATTAGGTGAACAGATTTATTAGTGCAGTTGTTGATATACAACGCTAATCTATTCATTAATATATCATTGGTAGTAGACTGATAAGAAACATTATAAATGATACTTTCACGTGAATTGATATGAGAACATCAGCTCTCCTACTAATGGAATCATTATCATTATTTTTATTCCCTTAGATTCCGAATAGAACATACGACTTCAGCAGTACATCTTTCTTCTATCCTAATCTCTGCACTCCATTGTACAGGGGCTTCACGATTCCTGATAAGCTTTCATTTCCTCATCACACAATCTCCTCCATGTCACCCTCAGACGCACGATCAACTCGTCACTGTACATTCGAGTTCCACTAGACAGACTGGTGCGTGATTTCACCCAGTGGTTTCCTTAGTGTACGATCAATCTCCATCTTCTGAGGAATATTTGTTCAGCAACAGATTCTTGCCTGGTTTGTTCTTGCTAATTCCCTCCAGCTGACCATCTGACTTTCAATATAGAGCCAGCGAAGGTGGCACCTGCTGATAAGAGATTGAAGTAGTCTGTTGGAAATTCTTTCCATTTTTCGATAAAGAAAGGAAGACGAAATTTACAGTATAAAATGACATCATTCTATTTCACAGGTCCTCATCAGCTGCAGACTACCTGAAGTTACAATGGTTATATAGATGATAATAACATTCTTTAATGTTTAAGTGGTAATAGAGAAGATATACTATAAAATTGACGCATCCAAAAAAGAATGAAAGCATTACAATTTTTAGTTGTTTAAGTTTTCATCATCAATTTATACACTTTCAAAGTTGAAAAGAGGAGGGAGGGGTAAAACAGAAAACAGAAAAAAACTGATTAAAAGAAACAGTGTTAGCTTGTAGCTTGACATAGCAACTCAAAAAACAAAAGCGTTTACAGTTTATGAGATTAAGATTTGTTCAGTGAGTTGAGATCACTGAATTAGATGACTAATTAATGTAATCAAAATCAAAATTCAGTTACAAGGGAGTGAGAGGTTAATCACACTCTCTTTCTGTATGCATAAGTCCGGTTTCAATCGTTTGATTGCGATCGCTTCGGGAAATCATAGTAAATTTGCTGTCCTTTGTCTATTTAATATTTTGAAAGACTTAGAAATCTCTACGAGATGTCCGGTATCAACAATATGTCTTCACTCACAACTCTCCCCTTGCATCTCATCAGGTAAAACAAGAAGCCAATATAGAAAACTATATGCTCGCACCAGCAAGTACAAAAACTCAACCATACCCTACTTAGCTCGCGTTCTGTGTGATAAAGAAAGCATTAGGCGTGACACCTATAATTCATTAAATAGTCATTAGTACAACTGGATCTCATCTTTCCAACCCACTTCATCAATAGGTTCAACATTTCCTTTCTTTCTGTTCCTTTTCTCTCTCTTCTTTTTCCGTTATGTGCTGCTTTGTCTCTTTCTTTCGCTTACGCCAGTTAATAAGACAGCTCCCACTTTTCTAACACCTTCAAACACTGTTTCAGCTTTACCTTTGCTACTGAACATGCCAATGTATTGTTGTAATAATGAACTGTGGTTTCCTCAATCTATGTAGAATTCTATTTATTGACAATGTACTAACTGGATGCAATACTGTAGTAAAAATGCTGAGAATTCCATTCTGTATCACAAGTACTGTTTTGGAATAAAGCAAATTATTATTATTATTATTATTAATTGCACTCTGAGAATATTTGCTTCCTTTCAGACATAGGTTTCTTGGAATATGTTCAGAAAACCGGATAGAAGCCTTTCTTTCTGTCCTTCCAATGTACTTGCTCCCGCAAGTGCACGTAAATTCATAAACGCAGTTGGAGGTGATATCAGCAGGGTATTTATCCAGTTTTGAGTGGATTATAGAAGAAGTGATGCTGTATTATGTTATGAGTTTAGCTGCAGGGAAGCTTCTTTTTATTACACCTTTCAGTCTTTTGTCAATCTTTTGTGACACTGCATCTCCTTTGGATGGGAGATAAATGAACACTTTTTCTTTTCTGCAGTTGGGTGTTTTTCTTTCCTATCTTTTTCTCTGCTCTACTTCTGTATAAATCCCTTAATGGATCCATTTTCTCTTAGGCACTTCTCGACGAAATCTAATTCTTCTTCATGCATTCAGTGACAAATTGTACAAATAGAATTACATACAGCAATATGCGAGTGGTGTGAGGTTACGAGAAAGACATGAGCTGCCACGATGCAATTCCAAACGAAATAGCATTCTTCTTAAGTAAAGCCTATCACTCAATATGCGTGAATGCGGCTCCATATTTCGTATACATCAGTACCTATGTGTCTAAAACACAAAATCTGCCGATCTGCATGGTGTGGATGAACAGTTGAAAGGGAAGCGCGTTACGACGACGATGCTGTGGAATGACAATTGAGCTTTCCACGAAGAAGTGAAACAGAACAGTTGGTGTAGACATAAATGTCTGAATAGGAAGGTGGTACTTCGCCGAAATGCCTCAGTAAACTACACATAATGTGACGAGTGAATCGGAGGCTAAAATACTTATGATCAGTGACTAATATACACTGCATGTGATACATGACCTGATTATTCATTCATGAGAACAATGTGTGGGACTGATAGGCGAATAATGCTCAGCACGTATTAGGAGGTCACGCACATGCATGTGCGTGTGTGCTTAGGGAATATTTTTGTTGGTGATGTGTTGGGTATAAACGTGAGTGCTTTTGTTTGAGTTAGTTGTGTGAGTATGGAAGTTGACAGAGTGCAGTATTTGGAGAATACACATGCAACAGTGTGTCGTTTCACTCAGCCTACTCGCTGTTGTTGTGAGCATCCACATGTGTGATGCACAAGGTGAGTGACAACTTGGAATCATATTTTGTCGACGATTTTTATTGTGGCGTTTCGTATTTAACTTGTTGCTGCTATATTTTGACTGAACTAGAGTACACGTATCTTCTAGTATTTCTTCGCGTTTATAATTGTGACCTAACTTTCCGATTACTCTACATCCGCAACGTAATTCAAAAGGCACTTGCGAAGGAATACGATAGTGTATTATTGCAGCAATCAACAATTCAAAAATCGAGCGAGTACAAAAAGTATCAATTGTTAACATGCAAGATTTAGAGTAATAAACAAATCGAAGTACAATTACACAATGAAAGTATACTGCCATGATGAGTAATAAAACGGGTCACTACAATAGCCCCTCCGTAGAATGCAGGTAAATGAAGTTTACCTGTATTCGGAATGATATTGTAAATTACAATTACAGAAGAAATATATACGAGTTTCTGGTATGAAAACCGAATTGAGGATTTTAAGTTTTTGAGGTTTGATAATAAAACTGTATATATGCAAAAATGTTAACAACTTCGAAACGAACCAAAATGTTTAGAAAGTTGTGCAACATGTAACAATAAAAGCAGAGAAATTATTATTAGAATAATAATGAGGTTGTTATTGTAAAGAGTTACAGAATAGATTTATATCTTAACATACAGTTAATAGTATAGTAATAAGGAAGTATGGAAATGACTTGGGTAAACATTCAGTTACCTCTATTTCCATGAAAGCTGGTTGTACAAGTGGAATTGTACAAGAAGAGATGACTGTGCCAGAGAAGAGTGCAGCAGTAGTTGCTGCTGATACGGCTGAAAGTGAACGTCCGTCAGCATGTTATTGTTGTTGCTGGGGTGTTGTTACTCGGCGTTGAGTAGTAACTTGAATTGATGTTTGCTGAGGTTGGAGAGTAGAAGTTGATTGATTGATAACCATTCCAACAAGAGCAGTTGGCATAAACTGTGGTAAACTAGTGATTTGAATCAACTGACCGTTAGGACCAACAGTCATGACTTTTAATGGGGCTCCTGGTGCCAGAGTGATAAACTGGGGAGTAGCATAGGAGCATGCAGCTACAGTACAAGGTTGACCACTGACAGAGACGTCAGTTGCCATCATTGTTGCTTGTTGCTGATGTTGTTGGATATAAGCTTGCTGTTGAGCTGGTTGTAACTGATGAGCTTGTGCTTGAATCTGTTGTTGTTGAGGTGATTGGGTAAACTGTTGTTGTAATTGAACAGCTGTAGGACCGGCTTGAGTAAATGGAGTTGCAGACCATTGTAAGGGTGTTTGCACACCTGTAGACAATGCTGAAGCTTGAGGACAGAGAACTGGAATTGAGGTGTTGCATAACAGCCAGCTGCTACAGCTGCTTGAGTATCAGGGTGAACTGGGATAGCAGTCGCTGTGCCGCCAGGTCCGGAGGTACTTTTAGCAGAAATATCAGTAATTATACATCCAAATGTTATGAAGTTATAAAAGTTAATGCGATGGCAAAGATGATTTATTCCACTGTGTATACTTCGAAATGATGTAGTTCATCAATCAGCTATGTCGGGCTCGCCAATTGTTGATGCTGCTTAATACTTCTTCGCGTTTATAATTGTGACCTAACGTTGCGATTACTCTACATCCGCAACGTAATTCAAAAGGCACTTGCGAAGGAATACGATAGTGTATTATTGCAGCAATCAACAATTCAAAAATCGAGCGAGTACAAAAAGTATCAATTGTTAACATGCAAGATTTAGAGTAATAAACAAATCGAAGTACAATTACACAATGAAAGTATACTGCCATGATGAGTAATAAAACGGGTCACTACAAACTAATCTTGGTAGAAATAACTGTTACCATCATTCTTGTTTCTCTCTCTGTGTGTCTGTTTACAGATCCATCGGTCTACCGAGTTCATTATCCTCTATCAATTTGAACACCTTTCTACGTTACCCCCTGGATAATTCATCATTATGGCATAATAGTATATCATTATTTCGTTCACTACCTGAAGATATCAGTCGGATGATGAGTACTGCTAGTTCACCGCCAGATCCTGAAGTTCAACAATTTCTACGTGATCTATTAGATTTTTTTACTCACTTAGGCAATTTTTCTCCAATTCTCGATTCTCGACTTGTTCTACCAGTTGCTGCTGAATGTGATGCCTATGTACCACGGCATGGTGTATGCTCGCTGACAAAAATCTATCCAAATGCTGAAATTCGGATATTGCCTCAATCCGGTCATGTTGGTGCTTATGTACGCAATGCTATTTGGACAAATGATTTTAGGTAATTTTTTAATGATTTAATTGTTCAATGTCTTGTTTATTTGTTTTCAATGTATTTTGGGTGTAAAGTAGTTCATTATTGAGAGAAACAGACAGAGAGAGCATACTTCTGTGAGCACAGTTCATCTATCATCCTCTATGCAATCAACGAATTGAAATATGTCGCAAAACGGATACATACGCATATATATATGTTTCCCAATAGGTCCCAGAAGATCAGCCAGCCATTTTGCAACTGAATGATAAGAGTGTGTGGTGACAGCTGTCTGCTAGCCACAATTGCTAGACAGCAATTTACATCAGTGTTAACGTCCTAAATCTTGGTCATAAGAAAAAAACAAAAAGGACAAAGACTAACTCAACAACCAATCACAGCAAACTTTGCGTGGGTGGATACGATTAGCAGATATATACCAACGGACTATCTAAGAAATGGCAATAAAGAGATGACACAATAACCTTCAGCAAGAAAACAACCAATCAGAAGACGCTGTTTCTCTGCTAACAAATAACGAATAATAATGTGCATAAAAATCTATAAATATCTGTTGATTTCCTCAATAAACAATCTGCTGCCTGGCCCTTGCCTTCTGTCGTTCGTTACAAGGGGAATCTGACATGTTGAGGACTGGACAGAGCGAGAGACCAATATTGTGCATCTTTGCAAAACTATATAAAGTCTTAAAAATAATAATGGTAGCTTTATTCTAAACTGTTGCTTTGGTACAAATATATGGAATCTTCAACAAGTAGTACATTTTCTCACTAAAGTTGGCAATAATTAAAATAGAGTATTTGCAATGATAATATTGTTCAATATGATTATGAACATAAAAATTAAATTTACATGAAAATATTTAAAACAATATAATATCCGACTCTTGGTTATGTAGGGATATTGTTTGATTTTCATTGGACACTAATAACCAGTGTGACGTGCCTAGTCCTATCTTTGGTGTAGACTGAATTCTCTCAGTCAGGTTTGCAATGTGGCCACCATTATTGGTAGCTCACCATCATGGTGCACATTGATTTGATGATATTAGATAGTTGGAGGCAATCGGCCACAGGATCTAGGTTTCGTACTAGTTGGCACTCGTCAGCAGGGCGTATCTGCAACCTTGAAGGAACTGATGTCCCTGCTTCTGAGATTCGAACCCGCGTCACCCAGTGCTGCAGTCAGAGGCGTTACCACTGAGGTATTCGGGCTTGCGATTGACCTCCTGTAGGACTGTAGTGGGTATTTTCCTGCCGATTGCCTCAAACTATCTAATATCATCAAATATTGTTTGATTGATTGCAGGATTACATCCTGAGTTGAAATCAGTTAGAGAAGCATTGGAAAACTGATTGGCAGTACTGAATAGCTGTTTCCCCCGTTCTAGTTTGGATCTATTCAGCAGTATGCACCCACACCGCAGGGTTCGAGTTCGCCTGGTAACCAGAAGCTCCTGGGTTCGAACCCCGGTGGGTGCGTACTGATGAAGAGTCCCAAACTAGAACAGAGGAAACAGCTATTCAGAACTCACAATTGGCTTTCCAATGGTTCTCTAACTAATGTCAACTCAGGATTAAATCCTCCAATCAATCAAACAACATAATAATGAAAGACAGAATAAGAAGGGTCGTTTACTTATTGCTCCGCAGGAAGTCAGTAGTGTCGTGCCTCACACTTTTCTCGTCACATAAAATGTGTCCCAGTCAAATAAAGTATTATAGATTTTTTATATCTAGTCATCCGCGCATATAGTCTTCTATAGTTGCCTCTAGTTCTACCTGATGAGTTGCAAGAGGGGAGAGTTGTGTATAGAGAGGATGCTCAGGGTTTAACAAGATAATATTCGCTAATTTCTTGATTAAGTCCATGTATCTAGTATTAACGAGTCGGTTTAGCGACGCCCCACTCACCCTACTGACGGCATTTACTGCCCTTCATAGTGTAACAGAGTCTTTCTTAAGTAACCCAGGCCGGTACGGAAGCCTGTGGGATGGCATTCGTAGCCGGTGTTTCCAGATGACGACACCAATGATTGGTGGTTTCCAGTGTGTGCAAACACACACTTCTGGAACTTGGAATTACTCACACGATGATGCCATAGGATGCAAGCAATTGTACGGAGGCAGCGATGATGGAACACGCAGAGTCGCCACACATCCTCATCGCACTGTGAGAGACCAGGCTTCTCCACAGACATAGAGCAAGACTGCATGCACCGAAGAAGCATTGTTAATCCGATCTTTGACAGCCAGGTTAACTTCGCAGCCACTCCATGGATGTCTCAGATTTTTGTGTAGCGCCCGAGCTTTCATGAGAGGGTTTAGAAATCTCGTTTGTCACACCTACATAAGCAGTCACAAAACTACCCAGATACCCGAACATATTGACAACTTCAAGTGACACACCTGTAAAGGTAAGTGGAGAGGGGTATAGGCTCCTGCCAATCTTGTAACAGTACTTTGCATTTAGATGGCGCAAAGCACATACCAACTGATTAGGCGCCATTTTCGGTAGCCTGCTAGCTATCACACAATAAGATATGATATCGTCTGCATACTCGAGAGGACAGAGTGAACTGCTGCGCATCCATCGATTTGTCTTTGCAGCTGTTCTCGTTATTGACTTTTTAGTAATCTGATCGTTTCGATTTTTTAATTTCTTGCAAATCATTTTCTCTTTTTCTTAATTTCTTATTTTTAGGCAAGCAATTACCGATTGTTTAAATCGTCAAGTGCATTTATATCATGATGAACCTGGGCCATTTGGTCGAAATAAAAAATCTGCATTGAGTAATAATAATGCTACTACTAATAATAGTAATAGTAGTACTATTAACAACAGTGATAACATTATTCAGGCTACTGATCGTTCCAAGGGTTAATTTGATTAGAAACATCATTGTTTTATTTCACTTTTATTGTAATAATAAATACATTTTTTCTTTAAAAATCTATCATATCAGTTAATAACAGTATATGCTCCTGTCGTCGTTCTCTTGTTCTGTTGGTAGGCGGTAGTCAGTCACTCATATACATACATATATATACATATAATGTGCAAATTTGTATTATTATTTCTATCCATATATTGTACTTCTACTACTAATTATTTCTTCCGTATTGAGGTGTATTTAGTTTACTTTTCTCCTTCTCACGTCCTCACATCCCACACCAACCCATCCTACTTTGTTCCGCTCTGCTCCGCTCCTCCTGACTCGACCTTACCTCATTTACCAACTCCAACCCCGCCTCCGCCCCTGCCCGCGCCGCTGGCCCCAACTGTGTTTGTGACTACTGGTTTTTAATGTCTCTTCCCTTTTTCTTCTTCTCTCCGTGTTTTTTTTCTGTTCTTTAATTTTCAACTTTCGCTTTTTCGTTCACTGTAATAAGTTGTGTTACAATATGCTTTTTGTTATGATATGTAGTACTTGTGTGTGTGTGTGTGTGGTTGTTTGGGAACCGGTTGTTGCGTGTATGTAGACATTTACTTTTATGCTATTTATTACTATTATTATTATCATTATTATTATAAATATACATAAATAATTTTGGTTTACTTTTTAAAAAATTACTTTATCAGTATAATATAAGTAGAAAAAGAAGAAGGGGAAGAGAAACTGGGTGCTTATTGAAGGCACTGGTTAGCCGGTGGTGTGGTGTTGCTATATCACGAATTCATGCCAGTTTACGCCGTCTCAGCCAAAGTAGACGTGATATCCGGCTATCGACCAAAGGGCGTGTGTACTGCTCATCAGTGCACTCCGTCCTCCTTTATGGCTGTGAGATCTGGCCATTGAGAGTGGAAGACATGAAAAGCCTGGCTAGCTGTCTTTGATCACAGGTGCCTGCGTACTACCTCCCGTGTGAAGTGGTATAATAAGGTGAGCAATATTGAGATTAGGCTTCGGTCGAGTGCTAGGTAAGGAGGGGAAACCAGTCGACGAGGCTGTGAAGTTACATCGACTGAGATGCTTAGGACATGTGTTACGCATGGTAGATTAGTCATCGCCTTCCTCGACGGGCAATGTTAGCTGATATAGGGTCAGGCTGGAAAAGAGCTAGCGGCGGTCAAACCAAAACATGGCACCAGTCAATGAAATCTACAACAGTTAGTCTATGCCACTGAGGAAGGTGTAGACTTCCTGACCAGTTGGTGTCCTCGGGACGGTAAAAACCAATGGTTGGAAACAATTGGTGACATGGCTTAAAATCGTTCTCAATGGCTGTCGCAGATGCATCCACTCCTTGTGACTTGTAATTTCCAATGAAACTATATTGTTCTTCGTTATTACTACTCCTTTGTCTCACACCTTTGTTTACAGTCTCTTATATGCATTTCTCCTACTTTCTTCTCTTGGTTTGTGTGCTACATGGAGGGATTGTGGAGACTTGAACTGCTGCATATCAGTGCAAAGTTCTATGTCGAAAACCGACCGACCGAATTCATGGGTCATTGATTTCGGATTCAACTAGCTGACTGACTGACTGGTTAGTGAGCTTGGTCCCAGTACTCGAAAAGGTCTTGGGGTCAATCCTTTATGGCGTCAAGGGTTCCGAGTAGGACATAGAGCTGGCTTCAACAGCACATATCTTTGTTTGTTCATGGTCTCTCATCTGCTCCATTTCACCCTAGGATCAATACCCAACTTGTTGTTTCCCATTCGGGTTCCACCTGAGTGATGGCCTGGCGAGTGATATCATTCCAAACCTCCAACGACTGGCGTATGAAGCTCACTGGAGCTCACCGGCAGACGTATGGACAAAGGGCTTGTTGGATGTCCTGGATGTCTGGCCCCATTCAAAAAGGCATATGAACCGAACTCCGGTCACCGGCTGCCAATGGATAGTGGACTCTCTACTCCACTCCTACTGCCTTGTAGGTCACACTTGGTTGTGTAAAGGCTAGAGCTGCACTCTCAAACAAAAGGCCGAGCGATTCTGGGGACATCACTCGTACCAAATTCCCATGAAACTTCGTAAACTCTCTTCATCAGATCGCTGCGCCTGGTTAGCGATGATTTGAGAAGTTCATGAAGCCGGCTCATCCTTCCGTAGGAGATAGCCGAAGCAAAGTAAAGTAAGAGTGATATCATTAGATGACCTTCTCAGTGTGCCCCTCCCATCCGTCTCCGTTTTCTTTCTACATATTTGTTGAGCAATAGATTCTTAATTAATTCTCCTAGCTTAGTGATAGGAAGTGAAGTGATAGAACATGTTGACCACTTCACCTATTTGGGAAGTTGTATCAGCACCAACGGATTGATTGGTGACGAAATCTCATCACGGATCCAAAAAGCTCGGACTGCTTTCGCTAACTTACACCGTCTCTGGCGTAGGCGTGACATCCGGCTATCAACCAAGGGACGTCTGTACTGCTCAGCAGTTCGCTCCGTCCTTCTCTATGGCTCTGAAACATGGCCAATACGAGTTGAAGACATGAAAAGGTTGACTGTTTTTGATCATAGATGTCTACGATCTCTTTCTCACGTTATGTGGTATAATAAGGTAAGTAATGTTGACGTTAGGCGTAGAGTGTTGGGCAAAGAGGGAAAATCAATCGAAGAGGCTATGAAGTTACATAGATTGAGATGGCTAGGTCACTTGCTGGTATGGAGGGAGATGCAGACTTCTGGGTTGGGGCCCTCGGGACTCTAAGAATCAGTGGCTGGAAACAATAGGTGACATGGCTCAAAATCGTTGTCAATGGCTTACGCAGATGTATCCAGTCTGTGTAATCTTTCATATTCTTTTCTACCATTACTCATTCTGTTTCACTCTTATACTTGTCAAAACTCTATTGATTCTCTTCACTCATTTTCTTGTCTACCTTTGTGTGCTACTTGGAACGTGGTAACTCGAACTGCTGCACTTCGGTGCCAAGTTCTATGCTAAATCCAGAGAGAATTAATTCTTTCCCGTAGTTTCTTGATACTAATTTTTTCTGACTGGCTATTTGATCTTCACTATGGAGTTGGCAAAGGCAGCTGTTGATAAAAGTCTGCCACAGTGGTCTGTTGTAAATGCCTTCCGCGATGCGTTAGCCAAGTTTCCGACTCCGAGGAAGTGCAGGAGATTTTCAAGCTTTCTCACACTTCTGATTCTGACTGGTTTTGACATCCTCATCCCTACAATGCGCCTGTAGTTGAAACAGTGTTGCCTAGATAAAGTGAATGAGGAGGTCTCTTTCAGATTTATTCCATTGATAGTGATTAATGGTAGTTTTTGCTGTTTGGTTATCTTCATCACCTCCGTTTTCTCTATGTTCACTGGAAGCCGTGTCTTTGCTGCTGCTGCTGCTTCTACCATCTTGTTGGTTTTCGCCTTGAAGTCTTCGAGTTTTTAGGACATTAAACATAAATTGTCGATGAAATCCAAATGTCTTCTTATTGATGGTCCAACGTATTCCTATCTTTTCACTCCTTATGCACAGTCTTCTGTATGCTATGATGCAGTCCATCACAGCTATGAATATCGTCTGTGATAGTACGTAGACTCAGCCTTGTGTAACTCATGTCTTCACTTCAAAGGCTGCATTGAGTTTTCCTTTGTGGATCACTTTGTAACGACAGAAGACAAGGGCCAGGCAACAGATTGTTTTTTGAGAAAATCAACAGATATTTATAGATTTTTATGTTTTTTTATTGTTAGTGGGGACACGACGTCTTGCTAAAGGTTATTCTGTCCTGCGTGTGACCGTTTCTCAGAGAGTTAAGCCATATATCTGCTAATCGTATTTGCACACGTTAAGTCTGCTGTGATTGGTTGGTGAGTACCTCAAGGACAAGCTTTGCTATTGTTTTTCTCATGACCCCGATTCAAGACGTAACACTGACGTAAATTGCTGTCTACAATTTTGTCTTGCAGCCAGTTCTCACCGCAATCTCACACACGAGGAGTCAATGGTGTACACTGCGAAATTGTTTCATACGAGAACGAAAAGCAGCTGTCCATCCAGTAGTGTTCCCTGTTTTTCAATCATCTCTCTCTTACACTGATGTTTAGTTCTCATAACGGAATCTACACTGAAAGTAGGAGAGAAAAAGTCTTGAAAAATCCAGTTCTTCACGGATTGACGCCGACCAAAAGGAATTATGTGAAGATGGAATGGAGAGTGAAGTGTAAGAAAAATTTCCTAAAGGGCTTAAGCCCCTCGTTTCATGTGTGTGTGTGGTGGTGGTATGGACAGCTGTCTCGTGCTTGTTGATGACTCTTCAGCAGTAGGCACGCATGACCCCGCTGCCAGGGATCGAGTCCAGGACATCATTCAGCCACAGAGGCAGGATCCAGCGCCTTATTAATTCAAACTTCTTTCATTTTCCGATATATAGCACGGTCAGTATTTGTGCTGGTGCCCAACTTGGTGGTGAGCCCCATTGGTCATCACTTCTCAATGGAACTTCATCATGTAGTCTTGTATTCACTAGTGAGCACTAGACCAATTTTCAAGTTTTAGTTAGTCGGAGGATTTTATCGATTTTAATTTTGATGACAAATCGATTTCATTTAGAGAACCGTTGAAATACTAGCAGGGAGTACTGGACAGTCGTTCTGTCCTTGTTTGGGAATCTTCGTAACGAAAATGAAAATCAATCAAATCCATGCAAACCAATTCCTTGAAGTGGGAGTTGTAGCACGGTCTGCCTAAGGGAATCAAAAACACCTATGAGCGCGTTAAGGATGGTGTGTGATCTTTTTATTTGTTGTTAGAACTCAGTTGCCTGGAACAGAATTCTCAGACCTATCAGACTAGGTGAGCCGCACTCGTTGTGTGTATGAGGGCTGACGTAATACTATCCGGTTGGTCAGGGGCTGTGGCCCGTGGGTTTACGCGGTTGACTTCCAACAAATGGGTCTCGGGTTCGAACACCCTCTCCACCTACAGAGGTTTGGACAGCCAGTTACTACCGGCTGCCTTTACACAATAGATGTGAGTCATTGCTACAACTGTATGGAATCGCAATTGGTTGTTTATTAAAACTTAAGCTATTCAGGCTCAATTAAGTGCCACAATAGGTTTACTGAATGTAGGTCAAGTGCTTATCGCCAATTACCTACGTCTCCACGTTGCCTTTGATACGTGTAATAAATACTCCTGGTTATATATTCGATCTACGTCAAGTAAAACTTTCCATATAACAATAATCGTCTTATAACAACATCGAAATGATACTTGGAGATGTCAATAACCTCGTGGTTTTCTTCATATCGTTTACTATCAACAGCTGGATTTCTCCAGTTGAATTATTATTATTGCTTCCTTTAATTCCTAGAGGAACATAGGGCTTCAGCCGTGCGTCTCCATTGCGTTTGGTTCTCTGCTAGAGTCTTCGCCTGGCTCCAAGTCTGCGCACACACGTTCTCATCTCCTCTTCACATGACCTCCTCCAAGTCACCCTTCCACTGACGACCAACTCGCCGCTTCCCTTTCGGGTTCCACTCAAGCAATGGCTTGTCTAGTGATGTTACTTGATGGTTTCCTCAGAGTATGGCCAATCAATCTATCTCCATTTCTTCCTGCCTATTTGTTTCACAATCGGTTCCTGGTTGGTTCGCTCATTGCCAGA